GGAGGGAAAGGCCTGCCGCGCGGCGCCCAGGCGCATGCTGGGCGCGTGCAAGTTGCCCATGGCCTGGCGCGCCTCGGGGAAGCTGGGGTTGTACATCCCAGCTGGCTTGGCAGGCGTGACGCCCGGCTGTGCGGAGCCACCGCTGGCGCCGTAGGGCAGGAGCTCGGGACCGCCCGCGTGCCGGCCCCCGTAGTGCTCCATGGAATTGAGCGCCGCGCACATGCGGCTGATCTCGCGCGCCGTCGTGGCACTGTAGTGTGCCAGGCTGGACTCCTGCAAGGGTGCCAAGTCGCCTCGCGGTGAGTAGCGGTAGTCGGAGTAGATGTTGGACGCCGAGCTGTACCTCCGCATGGGCAGCGGGTGGCTCAGCAGCTCCGAGGGCTGGCGGAGGTCAGAGAAGGAGCCGTACTGCACGCCGTGGCCCAGGAAGCCACCCTCAGTGAAGCTGATGCTGTAGGAATGCTTCATGGTGCTCAAATCCACAGCGGCGTCGCCAGCAGGAGCATGGAAGGGCTGATCCGCCTTTGGGGGGTAGTAGTTCATCCCGATTTCGGACAGGTTTGTGTCTGACATGGAGGAATAGAGCCTCCCAAACATGCCAGTGGGGTAGAACTTCTGCTCCTCATACAGGGTAGGGGCCGGAGCCGGCTGCTCCCGGTACGGGAACGCCTCTGGCAGCTCTGCATCCTTGCTCCCATAGTAGGGGCCGCTGGGCTTCCTGCTGGGTACCGCATCCCCGGCTTTCTTCTCCGGCATCTTGGAAGAGGGGTTGAAAGCTCCGGTGCAGCTGCTCCCGAAGGGGAACTTGTAGACCACATCGCAGCAGGCCACTTGGCTCTCGGACTTCATGCCGGTGAGGTCCAGCACGTTGGCTGGGGGCTCCTCTTTGACCACCTTGGTTACCGGGCTGGCTGCCACGTCCTCCACCTGCACCATCAGCACCTGGGATTTCTTGCCTCCCAGCGCCATGAGAGGGCTCTGAGTTTTGAGCTCCACTGGTACGGCACGGTACAGCTCCGAGCCCTGCTCCGGTGGGAATGCTGGGGTGATGCTGCTGACGCCGAGCACGTTCTGCGCATTACTGCTCTGCGTGAGGAGCACGTCCTTCTTCAGCAGAGGTGTCATCTGGCTGGGCAGGTTGTACCTCGCAAACTTGGCCTGCTGAGGGGCAGCCGCCTCAGCCTTCACGGGTGGCGCAGGCGCGGGGGCCCCGCTCGCGCGGAAGGCACCCGTCTGCACGCCCTGCTCCACCTGCTTCACTTGCGCCAGGCACACCGGGCTCCCAGCCCCTTGCCCGACGTCCATCCTGTTCTGGAAAGGGTCTCCGTAGACCACGGGCTGCTTTGGCTGCGAGATGATCATCGGCGAGGCGATGGCGACGCCGGCGCTGCTGGATGGCGGCATGCGGCTGCTCTTGGGCGTTGAGGTTGATGATTAAGGGCTGGATGGCCGTGGACTGTCTGCCTGGGATTTGGTCCAGTGTGAGGCAGTACTTCCTAGTCTCCGTAGCCAAGGAGGTGAGATCCATGCCTTGGTCTGTTATGATGATGGGGGCGGACTTCATAGCCGTCCGTAAGTCCACAGCGTTGGTGCTCGGTGCCTTGGGACCTGGCTCCACGCGGGATGTGCCGGGGATCGAGGAGATGCGGCACAGGGAGATGTTTTCAGCCGGGGCGCTCCCCAAGGTGTAGAGCCCCGCGGCGTCCGCAGTGGTGGGCGCCTTCGGCACGCCGG